ACATAACTAAGAATCAACATTAATATTTTCTTTTGTTTGTTTGTTGGTTTTTTTTTTTTTGAGACAGGTTCTCACTTTGTAGACCAGGCTGGCCTTGAACTCACAGAGATCCTCCTGCCTCTGCCTCCTAAGTGCTGGGATTAAAGGCAATGTGCTATGACACCTGGCTAAAAATAAACATAAATTTTAACTCAGATTTTTGTAGTCATTTTTCACTGTTTTAATTTATATCTTAAAACAATAGTTTATTTTCAATGAATTTGTACATGTGTGTGACATGTTCTGGTCATACTTACCACCCCACCCTCTCTTGGTCCTCTCCTACCTCCATCAACTCTCTTTTCTCAACAAGTCCCCTCTCCTACTAGTGTATCTGTTTTAGTTGCATGTTTTTGTTTTGTGGCCCACTGAATTTGACCAGGATGCCCACAAATGGGCATGGGTACGAATTCTTCACTGGAGCGCGGGAGACTCGCTAGTGGCTGTATCACTGAAGACAGTGACCCCCCCCCCCTTCCCCAGGAGCCATCAACTCCTGGAGTGCCAGTAGCTCTCCAGGGAGGGGCTGATGTAAGGTCATCGTTATACTGAAGTACATCCTGTCTGTACCGCATTTATTGAGAGTTTCTTATAAAAGAGTACAGGATTTTGTTGAATGGTTTTTCCTGCTTCTGAGGTGACTATATAATGTTCATCATTCGTTATTTTGATGAGGGCTATGACATTATTGATTTGTATATGTTGTGCCAATCCTGTCCCATAGTATATGATCCTTTTAATGTGCTGTTGAATTCACTTTCTGGTATTGTTAAGGATTTTTAAATGTAAGTTTATCAGAAACATTGGCAACGTTTTTTTTTGTCCAGCTGTGGTATAAGAGTCAAAGCTGGAGTTGTAAGATGCGTTTGGACTTTTCCTACCTCTTCTGTTATTTGAGACAGTCCAAGAAAGGTTGACAGGAACTTTCTTCTCTTTGGTAGAGTTCACTAGTGAATCCATGAGATCTTGGGCTTTCTTTTGTTGGGGATTTTTGTTGACTTAATTGCCTGGCTTGTTATTGGTCTGTTCCAGGACATCTCCTCACAGCTGGCCAGGTTTGAACTTAACTCTTGTCAAGATGTTAAAAAGGAGGCATTAGTCTTTAGACAAGCATGTGAGAATATCCTTCTGTGTGTTTTGTTGTTCATCCTCATCCATGTCACTCATCATTGTGAATCACCTTCAGAAAAGAGTTTTGTGTGTGCTGGAGACACAGCTCAGCGGCTGAGCACTTGACAAGCACGTATGAGACTCTGAGTTTATCCCGACACTGAAAAAGACCTATGGATGGTCCTCTAGTTATTACCCAGCCTGCTGTTCCTTTATTGTGTGTTCAAAACTATACTTAAAAATACATGTATGCATGTGTGCATACATATATACATACATGTATACACACACAACACACAATATATACAAAGTGTTCTGTTCATTTTCCTGTGGGTACTTATTCATACTGGCAGAAAGATAATTATGGATTTTTTTTTGTCCCGAGACAGGGTTTCTCTGTGTAGCTTTGCACCTTTCCTGGAACTCGCTTTGTAGACCAGGCTGACCTCGAACTCACAGAGATCGCCTGGCTCTGCCTCCTGAGTGCTGGGATTAAAGGCGTGCGCCACCACTGCCCAGCTAATTATGGATTTTTAATATTCTGAACTTTTGCTTGATGGTATGGTGTGTGTGTTCTTCCATTCTGACTACAGCTCATGGTCGTCTGTATTTAGTATAGTAAATCCATCTGCCTCCCACTCGAGTTGTCCAATAATTTGGTTAGTTCTCAGTGATAAAATTGTGGATTTCAGGTTATATTGTTTCAGTGCATCTTTCTGGAGATTAAAGTCTTTGGAGCCACTGTGTGTGTCTTATCAAGTTCTATGTTGGAAGTGGAAGCCAGAGAAGAACCCCAAATGAAACCTCTATCTCCGGTAAAAGGCCCAAAGGTCCCTGTCTTCCCCCTCTTCAGCCTGGGTCTGATTCTTCTTGTGATGGATGGGAACCAGGTCAGCTACAGGAATATGGCCCAGATGAGCTCTTGGGGTGTAATTTCCAGGCTCAGGTCCTCTTGTCTGCCTTGGGGTGAGAGTAGAGCACGTGGGGAGTAATTGGCAAATAGCTGGGGGGAGTGCCGTATCGCACCTTGAATTTGCATGCATAACAGTCACTCGCTGACATCTATATATGTGAAATACTTACGAATGGTTTGTGAAGTTTGTTTTCTAAAGGCAGTGATATATGTAGAGATATTGGAAAACTCAGGAAGGTAAGCAGGAGACAGTTTTTGTCTCGTGTCACTGATAATCTTATCAATTATAGATCACCATTTTTAGCCTTATGGGTGTGTGGTCTTCCTGGTCTTTTCCATGCCATTAAAATGATGCATGCGTTTTGACTGTGCTGAAAACATTTTCTTTTTTTGGTAAGTATTGCATAGTAATTAAAATATTTTTACATTTATTTTGTGTGTGTGCGTGTGCGTGTGCGTGTGCGTGTGTTTGTATTTGTGGAGGTCAGAGGGCAACCTTAAGTAGTCTGTTCTTTCCTTCCACCATATAAGTTCTGAGACTCAAACTCAGGTCATTACTCTTGGTGGTAAACATCTAGTAGGCCGTTTTATAAGAATTTTTGTTGGTACCTTACATCATTTGTTAGTGTTGGACAGTTAGGTTGCTTCTAAATTTTCCCATTATTGATAACTCAATTATAAGTACCCTTACAATGTTCATGGATGGGCATCTCTCTGATGAGTAACTTTGAACAAATTCCTCAGGAAGGGCTTTGGTACAGATGCTGGATTGCCCTCTTGTAAAATCTAGGAATGCCTGTTATCCCCAGTTCTTCCTTGAGCCCCCTTTGCCCTACGTTCACTTTTTAGGTTAGCGACGAGAACCCTATGTCTTAGCCACTTGCCTCCTAGATCTGCACCAGGCAAAGAGAGCTTTCGAATGCATGGCCTAGCATCCGTTTTCCCCGTTCTGACCCAGGCAGGGTAGAGTCTCCCTTGCGGCCCTGTTCGGCTTCCCCAAGGGCCCCGAGTGGTTGCAGAGGGGTGCCCGCTTAGCTCGTTGAATACGGCAGGCGGAGCAGAGCTCCTGTGGTAAACAGTGATAAATACGCCCATGTCAATCTGGCAATAAAAGTGAGAGAGTTTAATTGATCTATGGCAACAGGAAGCTTACGTTTTAAAAATTAAATTATTTGCCGTCGCATCTTATTTAGCATCGCTGATAAATGTGCCGGGTAAGAAATTGCTTAGGAGAAAATTTCTGATGGGAAGTTGCATGCTGCTCTCCTGCCTTCTGCCGTGAGGAGGTGGAGAGGACTGGGGGTTTGCACAGTTCTGGGGATGATTGGGTGGCTCTGCCCTCTCCACGCAGCCCGGCTGCATGCCGTGAAGTGGGCACCTGGCACACGGGCACAGCTTCTTCAGAGACGGATACACTACACTTCCTTCCCTTATCTATGCTGTAGACGGTTGGGTGGAACTGGGCCAGTTAACTTGGGAAGATGGGCAGAGAATGGCTTTGGGGTTAGACCACTCTTGCTTCAACTCCCACTCTGGCTTGACCTGCTCCTGTTGCTGACTCCATGTTTTACTGACTTTGGTCTGTATGCTAAACTGTTAAGTACTATGTGTAACATCCCTACTAAGTTGCTGGGCAATTCCTAGGTCTTCAATAAGCATGGCTGTCTGTGATATTTCAATGGACATGATACTAGCAAAGAGGCGCAGAGGCTGAGTTCAACCCACTGCATTCTGTGGCTGCTGGGACTCTTCACAGGCACCGAGGGCTTCCTCTCTTCCAGCATTCTGTGTTTGCATTGCTCTGTGTCCTTTGGGATGGCCACTGGGCAGAGAGTCTAAGAAAGCCAACACGCCCCTCTCCTCTTACCTAAGTCTTAGATTTCAGCCATAAATGAGTGTGCTGATCAACTTTGGAAATAGACTTTAAGTGAGGAAGGAATCTATGTTGTAAGACTTCGGGACTAATTTTTATTTCAGCATAGCCTAAGCAATCCTAACTGTTACAAATAATTTAGTTTACCAATTGCTTCTAATATCTTACAGGTTAAACCAATTTGTATCATATATTTTGAATCCCTGCCAATTAAGAATAGGCCTGGTAACAAATTCTTCACCTATTACCCACCGATGACCACCCCCTCACCCCTCCCCAGGAGATGTGCATATGGAGCATGCTCTGTTGGCACTGGATCTTTGTTAAAGAGTATTTTTGTTTGTTTGTTTGTTTTTGTTTTTGTTTTTCTGAGACAGGGTTTCTCTGTGTAGCTTTGGAGCCTTTCATGGAACTCGCTTTGTAGACCAGGCTGGCCTCAAACTCACAGAGATCCACCTACCTCTGCCTCCTGAGTGCTGGGATCAAAGGTGTGAGCCACCATTGCCTGGCATTAAATAGTATTTTTATAGCTGAGGGCCTTGGACAAATTATTTCTGAAATCTAGGTGTCCAGGTCTTTCTTGGGTCACACAATGACCCTGGATGAGATGGTGTTAACAAGGATGGACTATGAATTCCCTGTAGTGTGGTGTCACCGACAAATTATTTATGATTCTAAACAATGTTCTGCATGTGTTGAAACCAGCACCCCCTCTGAGCCGAGCAATATGGTTAAAAACAACAGGACACACAAACTATTTTTTGTTCTAAGAGTATTAGTGACCATTCGAGTGTCTCCAGCAATCAAACAAACGTACAATCAAAAGGCAAAACACACAGCCACCTGGCAGGTCATATATAACACCTCAGCTGTAAGACCCCGATTTCCGCACTTCCAATACCCTCGGCAATGACTCATAGAAACAGAAAACTGACTGCATTAGATTAGGCAGAGCGCTCAGGCAGGTATCGGCTCCACGGTTGCCATGGTGCTTTCTTCCCTTCATGCCCTCTCCAAGTCGCCCTGGCTTCCGGGATTTCCACACACTGGGCCCAGAAGGTAGGGTGTTGGACCACAGAGGGGCAGCCTGGCTTGGGAAGTTGTGGGCAGCCAGAGAAAATTGTGACCGGCGGCGGCAGGTTTTTTTCTGAGCTTGATTTTCTCAGGGATGACCCTGCTGCCTATGACTCACAGGAAGTGCTTTCTCCAACGCTGCCTCAGTGTTTCCTGTAGTAGTTGTCTCTAGAGTGAGAGATTTCTAGAATTTTCAGCGTCAACTTTTATTTCCAACGCAACCATCTTTCTCCCCTGGAACCTGAGCCGAGGCCTCGCAGCTCTGCCCATGTCTCTGCCCTGCTGTTGGCTCAGAGGAGGTGATTGTGGGCTGTCAAGGTGTCAGGATGTTGCCCTTTGTGTTACAACAGAGTGGCTTTTGTGCTTTGGGGGTGGGCAGGGTAGGAAGAAAGGTCAGAGCCTTTAACCCTGTCATACTTTCCTGTCACTGGCCCTCCAGGTTCTCCACTGCTCAGTTTGGTGCTATTTAGTGCACGAGGCTTGGGCTGCTAAATGCCTTGCTGAAGGTGTGTATCTGGGACGAAAAGAACCCACCCTCTTCCCTGCTCTTGTGTTCCCCCGAGGACCCGTGGATGCTTTGGAGGCAGCTCCTGTAGGATGGTTTCCTGGACGGGCTTTATGGCAAAGCACACTTGGCAGTGAATATTGAGATGTGAGTGGTCCTCTCTCCAAGGAGTCCAGCGATGGAGAGCTGAACAAATGATTTCAGCAATTATGTTTATTTTCTTATTAGCAGATAGCGGCTAACATGATGCAGGCCTTACTCCTTCCGAGGCTGGGCAGAACACTTCCCATACGTGTTCTACTGAAATCCTCCGACGTTCTCCAAATGACACTAGGAGAACTCACATTTTCACTCATGAAGCAACTGAGGCCCAGGGAAGCCCAGATGCTTGCCCCAGCCCACACTGATGGTTAAAAAGAAATAAAAACAAAAACAAACAAAAACAACAACAACAAAAAAAACCCCAAAGCTGGAATTACATGTACCCGGGCCTGCCTTTGGCTTTATAGTTATTCTAAACTGCTTTTGTAATACAAAGTTGCTATTTATTTATTTATTTATTTACTTAATGTACAAGGACACAGCAATGACTTCTAAGCGTTTGCTTTCCTGTGGGAGCAAAGTTTCCCTTTTCCGGTTAAATTCCCCAAAGCCGGTAGAAATGGCGGTAGCAGGGTTTTCAGTACCTCCTCAGGACCCCAGAGGCCTCAGCCCGAGTCACACTTGTTGTCGTCCCTCTTTCTTTTCTCCCGTTTTTTTTTTTTTTTTTTTGTCTCTACTACCTTGGGGGTTTTAGTGCAGCAATACCCAGGAGGCCCAGGTGGGCCCAGAAGCAAGGGTTCCCAGAGGATGTACCCGGGGATGCCTGTCTTCTCCGCTTGGGCTGCACAGCTTGACTTAAGTCCAGGGTCACGGTCATGGGAAAAATGATTCAGCCTTGCTGCCCCAGCCTTGCAACAGTGGACACGACATGGTGTGTGTGTGTGTGTGTGTGTGTGTGTGTGTGTGTGTGTGTGTGTGGTGTTCACTTGTACATGGACTCACACTCACATACACTCCTTATCTGAAAAGCCTCCTTGGTCTCAGGGACTGACTGTTGGTGATTTTTGCTGTTCCGTATTCCTGAATGATGAAAGGGAGCTATTATCCTCTTTTTGCTTGGGTGTCTGTGTTTAATTGTAGGAGTGTAATAACGACAAATTCTCCCTGGCTGAGGCTTTTCGTCCCAGCCACTTTCCCATTCCTACCTCATCACCACTGGACCACAAAGTCACATAGGGTTTAGAGTGAGATGCATACAGATGGTCAGGTTTTCTTTAGGGTTGAAAACAGAAAAAGGCTCCTCCCCCAGACACTTCATTATGAAAATCAGCTGTGACCCCCCATGTCCCCTAAACTCCTCTCTTGACTTTACACAGAACCCCATTCTTCATTCTCCAGGGTGTCTGCCTTGTCTCTGGTTATGCAGAAATAAGAGATGGGCACACTACAGAAGACCAAGAAGAGGTGAGGAAGAAGAAGAAGAAGAAAAAAAAATCTCCGATCATTCTGGAGACAAAGCGAGACTGATTAAAAACAACTGGAAGGGAGAGTTGAAAGCGGGGTTCTAGCCCCCACACAGCCGGTCTCTTGCTTCTGGAGAAGTGTTTTTAAGAAAATGCACCATTGTTAAAACTTTTTTTTCCCCTCGTTGATGGATTTATTTATAAGGTAGAGAAATATTTTCCCCATAATTGGGTAACTCTTAATAGTAGCAATTGCATATTTATCAGTGTGAGGGGCTGTTATTAATGTAACTGTCAGGCCCAAACACATTTCTGCATTAAATCCATTTAGTATGTGCATTATTCGGGCTCGAATGTCACCGGGACATCAAAGCCCCGTAGGCATGGGGAGCTCAGTGCCCTGCTGCGGCTGCCGAACAGGCCCTTGATCAATAAATGTAACATGTTAATGCAGAGCAAATAGAATAAAAGATTTCTTTGACAAGACATGAAAAATCACCTTGTGGCAGCTGGCATGTGATGCATTTCTGGGGGAGACACCAGCAAAGTTGAGCTGACAAGTAAAATAGGAGATGATGGCTGGAAGGTGCTTTTGTTTCAAACTTCTTTCTTGACCTGTCAGGTTTTGAAGGCGCCTCAATGGCTCTTTTTTGTCATGTGAAAATTGTAGTCTTAGGTAGTTATGAAGCAGTTATCTCTTCTCAGATTGTGAATGCTGCTGTTTAATTGATTCACTTAGCATTTGAAACTGTCACGCATTAATAATTGCGAAATCCTGTAGATACTGCGCACGGAGTGTGTCACGCTGAAATGTGTAGTTATCAGAAAATTAATATCCTTAATGAACCAGTGCTTTCAAACTAACATTGCATGAAATCTCTTTTGCCCTTTCATTTGTGGGAGCTACATCCTCCAGTTTGCGGAGAATCACCTCTCGACAGTTTGCTTTCTTGATGCCCGACAAATGCCAGCTTTGCTGTGGGTACATCGCGTGCTCAATGACAATAAATATAGTAATTATACTGGAGTTAGTAATTAACATAATTGTAGTCAATTACGACAAATACAGTGCAGCGCTAAATAAATGAGAGGGGGAGAAATTAGCAAGCTAATTGATTTGTCTTTACTCGGCTTTCTATTATAACTGGCAGGGCTGTTTTTCTTGGGGTGGTGTGGAGAGGAGGGGAGAGTCCCCCCCCAAGGATTGTTTACAAATAACCGATTTTGTTTTGAAGCCGCTTTGTCTTTTGACTTATTACACTTCACCCCTACTCTGCTTAGCAAGGGGAAAAGAAAGGGAACAGAGAATTTAAACGCCAAGGGAGCGTTTTGCTAATTTAGCTGCATTGAGCTGATCGCTGAGTCTAAAGCAAGACATGATTTACCTTTCCCTACGGCTTGAGGAGTTACATTTTTTTTTGCTCCTTTTCAGCTATTGCTTTGGTAAAACAAAGTATTTTTTTTTTTTTTTAATGTATATGTGTGTGGCTCCTTAGACATCGTCAGCAAGGCTGTGCTTTGCTGGATGTACATTTTGGGGGGCAGGGGGCGTGCTCTAAGTGTCTGTTAATATTATCAGTTCTATGCCGTTGACTTGGTAGGAGAAATGGGCACCTTGTGGTTGATTCTGTCCCCCCGGTTCTTGGTTACCTTTATTCTTTGGTAGCCGTGGGAGAGACAGGAGAAAAGACATGGCCAGGATTGTTGGAGAGGGAGCCGAGGGGCTCAGCCTGGGCCTCCTGCTCATGTTCCCTTCTTTGCCACACTTCAGGGCTGCTGGGGTCCTGGGTGGCCACACTCTGGAGCGGCCTGGAAAGTTTGTGCTGGGGTCTCACTGCCCATTTATCTCAGGCTGGTTTACTCTGCTCTGCCTGGAGCCCTGGTTAATGGTGTTTATCGCACGCCTCTGTTCTTTGTTCGCCCTTTCCAACGTGACTGCTGTTGGGACCACTCAGGGTTCACGCTGCTCAGGGAGAAACTGCATATGTTTGGAGACGTGGGGTCACATCACAGCCCTGCTTTTTCTCACAAGTTTGAGCACAGATTTTTTTCCTTTTGCTTCTTGTCACATGATGAGGGTTTGTAAGCAGAACTTTTGCAGGACCGCATCCGAAAAGTCTTGGCCTTAGCCTACCCAAGAGTAAAATTGAATGCTTTTAGAATATGTTTTTTTTCTTTTTCTTTTTAGCATTCAGCATTGTTTCTCCATCTTATCTACCTATGTTATTTCCTCGGAAAAGTCAGCAGTTTGGCAAAACAGGGAATTGTTGGGCTTTTCTTCCTGAAGATTCTACTGGGTAGCTTCTAGCTTGATACAAAGGGAGTCAGGGCAGCAGTTTAAAAAAAAATGTTTCCTAGTGCATAGCATCAAGCATGACCTGGCAGAGATTTTGCCTTTCCAGATGCCCTGAAATGTTGCCATGTCTGTGAACACCGGGCTGTGCCCAGACACAGCTTGCTGTGGGGTCATCTTTCATGTGCGTTTCATTTGGAAATCAATTTCTGATATCAAATATTTATATACGAGGAGTCATTTAAATTATTTACAGTATTCAGACAAAATGGTTTCCCCCATGAAGCCTCGAATTATCTAAATAAATGTGTGGGACCCTTTTGAGGGGAAAATGCTTTGGTAGTTGGGAGGGGTGTGAAAGGAGACTTGGAACTTCAGCCTGATGTAATTAGAGATGGGTCCTGGGGAAATGGGAAGATTTCATACTGAGAGCTTTGTTTACCCAGAAAAGTGAAATCAAGATAGGGTGGTGCACCCCTAGAGAGGGGCCCGCTCTTCTGTGGAGGCCTGTGAAGGGCAGTCAGAGTGTGGGCCAGGGGAGAGTGAGAATGGGTGAACATGTAGGGAAACCTGGCCTCTGACCACTGCCGAAATGTGCTCCTTCCAGTCGCTCTGTCTACCGTGTCTTGACCTGGCTGCTGCCTTTTCACAGTCTATTCCCTCTTGAATGACACGTAGATGTTTAGCAGAAATGCCCAAGACGATGACAAAGGAAGCCATTGCATCTTTACTACTGCTACCTGGAAGTCGGGCTAATTAGAGCCAGCTTTATTTGGCTCCCCGATTGCTTAAGAAATAATAGCACAAGGGATCGTTTCAGTTTTGAAATGTTCTTTTTAAATAAAACACCGTGTTCAAAAGTGCCATTTTTTTCTCCCTCCAAGACCCTTTTCTGTTTCTTTTCCACATACACCTCTCTAGAGGCCAAAGCACCGGGGTTGTGAAAGTTTTGGTTTTTAGAACACCTAATGGTTTTTGTTTTGTTGTTTTTTGTTGTTGCTCTGTTGCTGGATCCTTACAGTATATGTTTGTGGGGTTGGTGGCATGGAGCTTGAGAAATGGGGAAGCTGAAGGCTTACTGTCTCTTGCCTTCTGAGGAGCTGTGGGGGTATGCTCCTGCCCACTGGCACGCTAGTCTTTGACGAGGGTGTCAGAATTGCTTAATGGGGTGCTAGCTTTAGTTCAGTGTTATACATTCGGAATGTCTTGACTGTCCCCTCTAAATGTATCAGCTTGTCTCCTGAGAGCAGAGGCTGGCCCAAGACTGCAGGAAGGAATGTAGGAGGCAGGAGTCTGCTTCTGTGCTGACAGTTGAACCGAAAGTCCTGGCTCGCTCACTCTTTCGAATTCTTCTCAAATACCTGAGCTGGGTCCACATCACAGAAACATACCCACTGCAAGTGGGAGTACCCAACTGTTATCCTGAATTGCATTGTTGGAGCTGGGCTTTAGCAAGAAAAGCCAGCCTTTCATGGGGTTTAGAGAAAAGGAGCCTGGCCATGGCTTCCCAAAGTCATTGTCTAGTCCCCTCCTCTGAGGAATCCTGGACTTGTCCCAGCCCATGACATGCAGTTCCAGGACAGTGACTAGGGAGATACATTTCACTGTATACTTTTAGGGTTTATTTTATCTTCTTCCTCCCTAGCTGGAGGTGGAAGTCCGTTTGGGGCCTGCTAATGTTTAGAGGATGCAAGTGGGGTTATAATGGTCTTCCTGGCTGCCATGGCCATTTGGATCCCTCTGTGCACGCGCCTGTGGCTAGGCTTTCTCCAAGACCTTGGTTCATGCAGCCTCGATAACAGATATAGTACTGTTATGTATATGGTTCAGGACAGCAGGACTTCTTCAGAGCTGTCTGTCCTCAGAGGGCGAGAGCGTGGCCCTCTGCACTTCCCCACACGTTCGTTATCCACATCTGGACACTGTTGTAGACTCTTAGACAGTGGCTGACAGGGATCCGGTGAAGGCTCCAGGACTGGGTTCCTGGGCAGCTGGGACTTAAACGTGGCATGCTTTCTCCTGTTAAAGCTTACACGTTCAATGCGGAGATAACGTGGTTCAGGTGAACTGAAAAGGGATAACTGGAGAAATGGCTATCTTCCCTCCCTGGAAACTTTGAAAACCTTGGAATTCCCTTTGCTGATTCACCGGTTTGTTGTCACTGAGTAAACAGAATTGAGGGGCTGCATGTGCTGGCATGGTTTCGGGGAGGCATCAGAACAGGTGAAGAACTCAGGTGAGTCCCAGGAAGCATCCACTTGAGTGTCCTGAGGTACACACAGGACCGGACAGCCAGCCAGTTAAGTGACAGAGGCATCATGTAGATATTGGTGCCAGGACATTCTCAGAAGGGAGGACTTCGTTGTGGGAAACTCTACAAGGTGATGGAATCTTTGTCACGTCACAGATGGAGGGCAGGATTGGCCCGTTGGGTCAAGATTTATGGATTGAGTAAGTAGTTTGTTGGACATCAGGGCTTTGGGACCAGGCCGTTCTTTGGTGGGAAGGTGAGACCTTAGGCTTTGTACCTTCAGGGGTTGGTTGGGGTCCTGGAAGGGATCACTGGAGAGCAGAGTATACTTCTTCATACATCTGTGTAGAGTGGGCTGCCTGCACCATGGAGAAGTTGGAGTCTTTTGGGGAGGCTAGGCAAGTAAGGCCTAGGGGAGATATAGGTTCCCCTTCTGAAGGCTTCCCTGTGAAGTTACAGGCACGAGGCGGGAGAGAAGCCACCTCTCGCTGAAGAAGGGCAGCCCATTCGTAGGCTGAGCAAGGCGGAGCATCCACCCTGATGTGCATACGGGGCAATTATGCTGTGAGGAGGGTCACGGCTAATGGAGTAATTCTCCAACTTGAGCCGCAAGCACACAGGGCCTCTTTGTGCCCTGCAAGATCCTGTGCCCCTTCAGAAGGGGAGAAGCTAGACTTTCAGAAAGTGTGTTCATCATTGTTCTCCAGTTGGCTTAGGGGTGCAGTCTCCTCTGGGGGACCCCTGTAAGAACTTTATCACCTATTGAAATGCAAACTTTTCAGGATGGGGTAACAAATTCTCTTTCCATCTAACCCTAGGTAGGTTATGCTCATGGTAGTTTGGAACACAGAGTCTTCTGGGAATTTCTTATTTGACTAAATGGATTTTAGCTTACTCCAGAAGAGGCAACATGCCATCCATCCATCGGCCTCCCAGATAACCTTCTTAAATCTTTATGGCAAGCCAAGAGCCAAGACTTCACAGTTGAGACATGAGTGAAAACGTGCAGTGGTCAAAGGGAGTTTCCTGAGGGCACGTGGCCGGACAGTGGTGGGCCCAGGTGGACAACCCTGTCTACTTTGCTACACAGAATCGACTGGTGGCTCCTCCGCTCTCTGAGCTCCTTTGCTGGCAAACTGGTGTAGGTTGATAGCACGTCAGAGGAGAATCTGTCTTCCAAGAAGAGGAAACCCCACCCCCACCCCGCTAAAGCTGTTGCTGTTTTGTTTTCTTCCTAAACTTACGTTCGACTTTATCTTTTTTGTTTGTTTGTTTTGTTTTGTTTACCAAGAGGCAATAAACATTCTAGGCTGTGAGTGCTGGCATCCCTCAGAGAGACAGCAGGTTGGGTTCCAGACTGCTGTAATAAAGAAACTATTGCGCCGGGCAGTGGTGGCGCACACCTTTAATCCCAGCACTCGGGAGGCAGAGGCAGGCAGATCTCTGTGAGTT